AAACTTATACTGCCTCGGGTTTATGGCCAATCCGCACTGCAGATGGAGGTGCGCAAAAGACTGGCTTATATCGAGGACGTCAGGGCGTTTGGTACGTTCTTCCTATTGTTTTCGATTTATCAGAACTCATCGGTCATCATTTATATCGATAGGCCAAAGGGCGTTCATCACCCACACTTTACTCTCGCGCTACTGTGAGCTACTCATCAATACCGAATTCAAGGATCTCGCTCACATAACCCAGACCGCAAATCGAACTACCAAGATGTCGTCAACATGTACAACAATAGAGCGCTTACAGGTGAAGGAACAGCAGCTGAGGACGAGGCGGTATGTTTTTCATCGGCATGACCTCGTACCAGGCTGAGCACGTCCATCAGGCGCATGAGAAGGAAATCGCGGCGAATGCACGGAAACAAGAGGTACGACTACATGCCTGGCGATTGCTGCAAGGTCTTAACACCTATGTGCTTTAGCACTTTACGAAACTCTCCACGTACCGCGCGCACTACGAACAGCGGTACCAAAGTGTCAAGTCTAGCAATGTCCAACTGTAAGAATGATCGCGGTCACTCATGATGACGTAGTCTGACTGATTTACAGCGTACAGAGATGGACCGACCAGAGAAATTGGAATATTGCAGACGTCATGGCCGCCCCGATGATTAAGGCTATGTTGACGACGGCAAACCGATGCATACAGAAGGTCAAAGAGTCAGGTATGTTCTGTCCGCTCGGCCCTCCAGGCGTGACCCATTCAGACCACTCTCCACTAGACCTCGACATGATGGCGGACCTTCTCAAACAGGAGATCAACAAGACTATCGCGAAGCGGGATCGCTGCAAAACAGAGCACTCCATGCAGCAGCGCCGCGCCGACGTCGAGAAGTATTACAACTCTCTCAAATCGCAGGCCAACGCATCCCGCGTCTTGCCACCACTTTCGGACTTCCGGCGCCTTCCCTTCATCCTACATCTCCAGAATAAGGACGCTCCGAGCATTCTTAACGATCTCAGGACGGATGGTAACTTGCCGAACTCGGCGCTGCAGAGCGACCTCAACGCGTGGGTCAAGAAGCAGCATATGGACTTCCAACGGCTATTGGGCTACGAGCAGTGGCGCGACCCGAACCCGGATGTTCTCAGCCCTGTTGAGCGTATCAATGCGCGCTTCATCTGCACAACCTGTGGTACCGTACCGCGAAAGCTAGAGGAGCAAGGCTCGTTTGACTTCGCATCCGCCTGCAATCACCAATGCGCGAACATGGAAAAGAGCAAACGCCGCGACCACGTCTTCTCCAGCGCACAGTTCACGGGGGATCTCAAGGTAAGAGCACCTGTCTTTGATCCCCTGCATCCTTATTCAACCTTTGCTCGTAGGGAAAGGCAGTCATCGAGAGCGCTGCTCGTCTCGTTGATGTTGATCTCAATGTTGCGGGCGCAGATGTGAAGCTCAACTCGTTAGGCGTTCGTTTCCTTTGCAAGACTTGCCCTGGTGGTCGCATCATCATGCCATTCATGCGTCTCTCGGGTCACGCCTCGCGCCACGATATCATGGAGATCGAGTTGTTGAGCCCAGAAGACGCTGCCGCGCTACTGGACGGGTTGCCATACGAACGCGGCGCTAAGCTCAAGTACCTGCACAAACAGCTTGGTCCTCAGGATGGCGTCAAGCGCAAGGCTCTTGGGAAGCTCAAGGCCGAACGCTACCACAAGGCGTTCCTCTGTCGCCACTGCCATACTCTCGAGGTTCCCGACGACGCGACGCGCACGTCGAAGAATGAGAAGAAACCTCTGATGATGGATGGTCTGGTCTCCCACATGAAATCTCGGTACGTTGTCGTCTTCTCCTTCTGGTATCCTAGGATGGCGAAGCTGACCCGCGCGCGGACGTAGGCACGGCTTCCAAATCATGGGCGATGAAGACTTCTATCGCGTAACCGAGGCCGCTGGCGCTGGCGCTCCCGCACCCTAATTCGTCTCTTTGTCACAACCATCACTAGCGGATCGTACGGTCACCGTATCTTGAAGCACACTCCATCTGTGCGTTGGCGCATCGTCTCCCCAATCTTGTTTTGTATACTCTTATGGTCATTTTGTATCCCTGTTTGTAATTTGACCTGGAAGGTCTTTCACATCGTTATTCGTTCGCCGTCATGGGATGATGGTTACTTGGCGCCCATGCGGTGCTATAAGGGTCAAGTATGCAAGCTGCATGGATGTGTGAGAGGAGCTTTCAAGCACAGATGGTTGGACGGTCACCGGATACTGAGCGACGGGCGCATCGCTACGCTGATCTCTGGATATGGCTCACGGCGGTGGGTGATTCATTTCGTTAACTCCGGCCGCGAAGACTGATTGGCCATTGTACTCCAGCACGCTAGTGCTGGTGGTGGCTCACTGGATTAGTTGCCTCATTCCGTACGCTCACGGCGACGACTCGCCACACGCACCTCAATTGAGAAGACTGGACATGATGCCTGAGCACAAGGAACACTATTGGCGGACCACGCATCTCTGCTCTGATGTTTAGCTTGATGACCGAACAGCGTGCTCGCGCGCGCTCCACAACAGCATCTGGAATACGCGTAGGTAAGCGATGCATGTGGATCAATAGATGCACGACGTATCTCCGGCACGTCTTGGCTCGAAATGCATTGACGGTTGTATAAAGAACTGACAGCGGCGACGCTCGACGGAACGGTCCCCGCCACGCCGAGCACCCCCAATTCACCCATCCTATTCCGGTATGGCACCGCGCTCTCGAACACTCACCCTGGCCGCATTGGCGCTGGCGCCCGCCGGTGCTCTCGCAGGAGCCGTACAAGCGGCGAACTTGACGCTACCCTCGTCCGCTGCTGCGAACAAGCAGGCGGTGGTAGACATCTTCACCTCCTCATACAATGCGTACAAGTGCGTGACCAACATTCCATTGCGGAGGATCGCGGGTCAGCGAGCTTGTATGCTAATGTATTGCGCGCAGGCAGTACGCGTATGGACACGATGAGGTTGCGCCCATCAGCAAGGGCTTTCTCGATCCTCGTAACGGGTGGGGCGCGTCAATCATCGACGGGATGACTACCATGGTGCGTCCTGTGATTCTCGCTGACATTGCATCTGCTCACCCATGCTTACAGTACATTATGAACTTGACGGACCTATTCAACGATGCAGTTGCATTCGCCGAGAAGATCGACTTCAGCGTGAACGCCGCGCCAGAGGACGATGTCTCTGTGTTCGAGAGCACGATCCGCTACGTGGCCGGCCTCATCAGCGCGTACGAGCTATCAGGAAAACAGAACTCGAAGCTTATCGAAAAGGCCGAGCAGCTCACGAGCCGCATGGTCGACATCGCGTTCGCTAACAACGTCACGGTGCCATATGGACATCTCAACTTCACGACGAACTCTGGTATCCAGTCGACCTCAAACATCGCCGAAGTCGGCACGTTAACTCTCGAGTACGACCGATTGAGCTTGTACACCGGTAACAACACGTATCGACAGGCACGTCCTTTCCCATGCCGTTGATGATTGTCCCGCCGTGCTGATCTTGCGGAACGTAGCTTGCGGAGAAAGCTGCCAAGTACGTCGCAAACTACCCCACCCCGCCGTTGCCTGGCCTTCCCGCCCAATGCATCGAACCTGGCACTGGCTCCTTCGCCTGCGACTACGTCGTGCGTTCCTTTTCTTCCGCGCCGTGGCGTACAGTTCTCACGCTTCGTAGACATGGGGAGGAGGATCCGATAGCTATTTCGAGTACCTCATCAAGTATGCACGCATGACGAACAACGCCGATGAGACGTGGGTCAACGCATGGAAGCTCGCTGTCGATTCGAGTATCCAGACCCTCAAGAAGAAGAGCACCGTCGGCAACTACACCTACATCGCCGACTACGATGGTAACCGGATCGTTTATGTTAGCTCGCATCTCGAGTGCTTCCATGCTGGGAACTGGTTACTGGGCGGGAAGCTGTTGAACAATGACACCATCGTTGAGATCGCACTGGAGATGAACGAAGGTACGTGTACGACAGTTGTTGTATCCTGTGCTCGATGCTGAGTGCGTCGCTAGCATGCTGGAACACCTACAACAGCACTCTTACTGGCATCGGGCCCGAAACCTTCGCGTTCGTCGGAACGGACGGGAACTACACCGGAAACTCTATCACCGCCGACCAGCTCAACTTCTACGAGCAGCATGGCTTTTACATCACGGATGCCGACTATATCGAGCGGCCTGGTGGGTTCAGGCCTGTTCTATCCATGGCATTCTTACTGACGAACGCGACAGAGGTACTTGAGAGCAACTTCTACGCGTACCGTGTCACTGGCGACCAGAAGTATCTTGACCGCGCAGCATCAGCCGTCGCAAGCTTTAACAAGTACCTCAAGCTCGACAACGGCGGCTACACGGACATCAGCGACGTCACGAATGCGAACAGCTCGCGATACGACGAGACGGAGAGCTTTTGGTTCGCGGAGGTACTGAAGTACTTGTACTTGACGTTTGACGACCCGTCGCACATCTCTCTTGATGAATGTACGTTCTGGGTCTTCGATCTACTCTTCCATGTTATCTAACGAGAGCTTTAGATGTGTTCAACACTGAAGCGCATCCTTTCATCGCGCCGGCACCGCTCACTCAGTACTAATTGATGACATCAGTTCTGGGCTTGGACTGGAAGGACACAACGTGTCCGCAGGACTCTGCTACTGCGTTTTCACCTAGGGTTTCTTATACATATGTCAATATATATATATGGTTCTCTGTCCTGGCTTTGGCTGGTCTGCACGCGAGCTCGTGTATTTCATGGAATCGCTTGATTTCAAATTTCAAACCCAACCAAGTGACATCGACCATTACACAAGTTGGGGGTGTTGTAGTAGGGCGTGGTGTGCAAAAACCAATAATAGGAAGTCGAGGGCCGTCGTCGTCCAAATCGATACTTTCGAAATCATCATCATCACCATGGCTCATGTCTCCAGCGCCAAAAATACAGACCCTTGCGTGGTTCGAACACGCGGCCCTGGGATGGGTAATCAATTGCATTCGCTGCAGCTCCAGTGGGCCTGCAGCGACTGCAATTGCTGCAATCCCATGCTCTACCACTGAGCTAAAGAGTCCGATTCTTTGCGGCTCTTTGAAAAGGTATGGCTCGGGTTGCTACACCTCCTCTTCTATGATCACTGCCATACTATCTTTTCATTCAGTACGCCTCCCCAGTCAGACCGTCCTAACAGGCTTCGCCATCAACGTGATGGGCTACAACCAAAACGGGCAATGCATTGTGTCTAAGAGGTCCGGGACGGAAGTATTGCGGGTAAGAAGGCTGGCAGAGAACACGACTCCCCTACGCGTAGACAAACACCTTCCAGTTCTTGAGAACGATTTGGCGAACCGCTAGCACCAGTAGTGTAGCCGCCACGGACAACGAGCCCGCGTAATAGATCGCGGGCCGGAATGCCACCAACCCGGCCTGTGAACCTCCGTAAGCGCTGAGGATCCATCCAGCAATCGGAGCACCCTGCCACTTGCATTCAGCGGAAGTCAAGGGAGAAGAACAGCTGTGTACTTACCAGAAGGTAACCAAATGCCCATCCAGACACCAACATCGCCAGAGCATTCGCCACACGGTGCGACCCGTAGACGTGTCCGACCACACTAGGTACAGTCGAGAAGAAGCCGCCGTTTCCAGCTCCGTTGAGCACGACAAACACGACGAATGGCGCCAAGCTCTTGCTCGCAGGCCAAATAGCGAGCATGCTGACGGCGCTGCACGCGAGTGCGGCCACCAGCGATGTGATTGGTCCTATACGATCGCAAAGCATCCCAAAGCCGATACGACCGGCGGCGGAGGACAGGTTGAACACTGCGAGGAGTAGTGAGGCCAGGAAGGTTGATGTGCCAAGCGTGCTGGCGTATCCCGGTAAGAAAAAGGCTGGGACAAGTAGAGGAAATGTGCCGATGGCGCAACCAAGGAAAAGAAGGGCGAACTTCCAATCGGCAAAGAGGCGACTATAGGTACACGGCACATCAGAATGTGAACCCTTGTAAATGCCTTGCAGACGTACAGCTCGAGGTTTGGTGAAGCGCGACGGGTACGCTCTCGCAGGAGCATAGCTGCCGGGATACCGAGCCCAAGCACAATGAATCCGAGGGTACGGAACGCCCAAGCTATCCCGACCTTTGCTATCATCTTGTCCAGCAAGAGCGACCAGGCCGCGCCACCGATGCCACCGCCAGCATATACGAAGCCGTTGGCGAGACCGCGTCGGCGCAAGAAGTACTGCGCGGGGAGCGCACTAGCCGTCTGTCACAAAATCAGGTTTTATTTAACGTGTCGAGAGTAAGACCTACCATGAATCCCAATCCGGTGCCAAACCCGGTGCAAATTCCGTTCGTAAAGAACAGTCCGCCAACGCTCTTCGTCGCGAAACTAGACAAGATCTGACCCAAAGCGAGGAGTGCGATGGATAAGAGGCCGGCATTTCGCGTCCCTATCCATCGAATAATACGAGTATTGAGGAAGGCGGCGAATGCTATGAATGAGGTTGAGGTTGAGCCGATGAAGGCTAGTGTGCCGTCCGGCGCGAGGTTCTGTTGGGTGAGCGAGTTCTGGATGACGCCCCACGAGTAGGTGATGCCGACAGCAAACGACCTGTATGGGTGGTCATTAGGATAAGGGTCGGGGATAAGGGTCGGCCTGGAAGATAATGTCGCGTACATGATCACACTGCAAGCAGCGACAATGACCCAACCATATTCACCATCTGGTATCTCGCTTGACAGGTCTTGAAGGGTCGGACTTGCAGTAGAGCGCAACCTCTCGCCCGTGGAGGCAACCGATTTCACGTCTGGTATAGCTTCAAGAGGGCTGCTTCACGAGTGAGCTCATGCGTGACAGCACGTTTAATGGACTGAGACACGAACCGTGTGCTTGAGCTTGAGAAAGTAGCCAGCTCTACGTCCCCTGCGCTCATGTCTGTATGTGTGGTTATCGCGGCCCTTTGAACTCGAGAACAGTTTGGCTATAGAGACGGCAGTATGATCAAGAGTTCCCGTAGGTCACTGATACGTTCCAGTCTGATAACGCCTCGAGTCAGGGTACGGAGGCGCGGGGCGCCGTCGGCGACGTTACCTACAGCGGTCGTCGGCATTCGCGGGATGGCCATCTTCAGCAATGGGTCAACGATAGCGCGCAGTCTCACAGTCGACCCCATGGAAGGTATGTTGTGCATGTCTGTAGTTCATGTAGTGGTATTCACAATTGCAGCTAGGCCTGAAGGTGGTGGTTCGGTCGTAACCGCCGCGCGCCGGGCTGACGCGCTCGGGCTTAGCTCGGGCATGCTCTCAGGCTCGCTGGACCATGCAGCAACAGGGAGCTCGAACATGCCAGCCGATGCAATGCCTCGCATATTCTTCTGAGCCATGCGAGGTTTATATAGTACAGGACGTTCTCTCCAAACAGATGTTTGGTATTATATTCGCGTGTACGATAAGGCATTGATCTAAACGTATGCGAAGACCTTCCAGCTCTTGAGGAGAAGCTGGCGTACGGCAATCACAAGCAACGTAGCCGCTACGGACAACGAGCCCGCATAATATATCGCAGGTCTAAACGCCACCAACCCCGCTTGAGAACCTCCGTACGCGCCAAGGATCCATCCGGCAATAGGAGCACCCTGAAGTTCACACTCAAAATTACAGACCCGCAACATGATACAGAAGGTAGAGCACCCACCAGTAAGTAACCGAAGGCCCATCCAGACACTAACATCGCCAAGGCATTCGTCACGCGTTGCGATCCATAAACATGTCCGACCACACTCGGGACAGTCGAAAAGAACCCTCCGTTCCCAGCCCCATTCAACACCACAAACACCACGAACGGCGCAAGACTCTTACTCGCGGGCCATATCGCCAACATGCTCACAGCACTCAACGCTAAAGCCGAAGCGAGAGATGTGACGGGTCCGATACGGTCGCATAAGAGTCCGAACCCGATACGGCCGACGGCGGAGGAAAGGTTGAAGATTGCGAGGAGGAGAGAGGCGAGGAAGGTTGTTGCGCCTAAGGTGGAGGCGTAGCCGGGTAGGAAGAAGGCTGGGACGAGGAGAGGGAAGGTGCCGATTGCGCAACCGAGGAAGAGCAGGACGAATTTCCAGTCTGCAAAGAGACGGCTATAGTGGAACGAATGTGATATCAGTGAATGAAGATGCGGCGCGCAAGTCGAGTAGGACTTACAGCTCGAGGTTGGGCGATGCGCGACGGGTGCGTTCACGTAGGAGCATGGCTGCTGGAAGACAGAGTGCCAGCGCTATGAGACCGAGAACTCGGAAGGCCCATGGGATTCCAATCTTCGCTATCATCTTGTCCAAAGCGAGAGACCATATTGCGCCGCCTATACCTCCTCCGGCGTACACGAACCCGTTAGCAAGACCGCGTCGGCGCAGAAAGTATTGAGCCGGTAGAGCGCTGCAGGTCTATGAATCCGATAAGATGACATGCATAGTTGGGAGGAGTAGAACATACCATGAATGCCAAGCTGACGCCAAAGCCAGTACAAATGCCGTTCGTGACGAATAGGCCACCAACATTCTTCGTCGAGAAGCTGGACAGAATCTGACCGAGGGCCAAGAACACTACAGATATAAGAGCTGCATTCCGAGTCCCGACCCATCGGATGATGCGAGCATTCAAGAAAGCGGCGAATGCGACTAAGGAGGTGGATGTGGACCCGATGAAGGCGAGTGTGCCGTCGGGCGCGAGCTTTTGTTGGGTGAGCGAGTTTTGGATGACACCCCAGGAGTAGGTGAGGCCGATGGCGAAGGACCTAGAGAGGGTTAATGAGTACTTAGAGTATCGTTGCTTGAGGGCGAAACGCATACATTATCACGCTACAGGCAGCTACGATGATCCAACCATATCCGCCGTCTGGCACTTCGCTCGACACTTCCGCAGGAGCCGGATGGGCACTTTCCAACCTTTCGCCGTTGGAAACGGTAGATTTGTTGTCTGGAGTGGCTTCCAAGGGACTATAAGTAGCGTCGGACAGGTCAGACTCTGTCCCGCTTAGGACAGATGGAACTTCGACGCGAACCTGGGACCTGAGAATGTAGCAAGCTCAACGTCCCCCACTGCGGAGCCTCCATGCGTAGACATCCCGGTCAACGACAACAGGAGGAGGATATGTGTCAACCTAGTCGTGGTCAAACGAAGAGTTCAAGACGTGTGGCTTCTGGACACAAGTTGGATAAGGAGTCATGCTAGTCATGATGCACACGGGGCCGGCGGTCGGCGTCAACATCTGAACATCGAGCTGATCGGGTATGATTTATCTGGCATTACAGTACATTCTTCGCCTGTCAGGCATATCATACGATGTCATTGGGCTAACCAGAAATATATTGCATGCGTCCGAGATGGAAGTACGGTTGAAGCTGTCAAGCCCATCAATGGCCAACTTCCTGGCGCGTCGCGCGTGTTCTCAGGGTGACGCGTCGAGGACGCGTACGCGTTCAAGTCACTTCGAGCCTCGACCACTTCCACCTTCCCCAGTCTCCCCAAATCAACACCGATAATATGGCCGACGTCGAGATGAAGGCGGACGACACGTCCAAGACCGAGACGGCAGAGGAGAAGAAGGAGCCCACGCCTGCACTGACGCCAGTTGCGGAGATCAAGTCGAACGCGTCCCTCATCGAGCGCGCCGTCGCCACGCTCGAGCCCAGGTTCACGCATCGCGTTTTGCGTACTTTGACTGCGTTGAGGAAGAGGTTGGACGACAAGGCGTTGCGCGATGCTGTCGCGGAGGTGTACCCCAAAGGTGTGCATGCATATATGGTATTAGTGATTTAGACTCATGTGAAGTAGATTCGGCTACGAAGAGCGCGCTGCTCGAATGGATCCCTGCCTCTTCAGAGGGATCAATGGATGTTGATGCCGCTCCCTCTACTACCCCGGCATCGAAGCCTGTGACCAACGAGCCTGCACCGGAAGTGGAGGTCTACCTGCGCCTACTGGTTGTGCACCATCTGCTCAAGAGCGAGGCCGGCTATGCAAAGGCCAAGGAACTCGCGAATGAGACTATCTCCGTCATTCAGCGCTTGAATCGTCGTACTAT